TAGGTAGGGTAGTGCACAGTGTGGCCCTTGCTAATTTGGCCCCCGAGTGTTTTGTCTTGACAATTTAATGTCAAAAGATGTATCTTGAAAAGATCTATCTCCGGTAAACAAAGAAGTTTGGCACCGCTTGCACCACCCAAGAAAAGTCCAAAACACTGCTATCCTGGAGGGTAGAATTTCTTGAGGTTTGGAAGGTTTTTGATTTATAGCGTTTCTTTTATCCTCGATATGAGTCATTGAAATAGAATAAATTCATAGCCTACACTGTTCTCTATCTAATGAGAGGTGTCCGATCTCAAACGGTCAAACCATTCATGAGAAAATGTGAAAATACTGAGCACACCCATTTTTAGCGACTTTTTAGGGTCAAAATAGACCCCCTTAAGCTTATTTTAGCTCGCATTTTTCATAGGTAAAACGAAATGCGCTAATATTTTGGATTTAACTATAGTTTACCTAGACCTATCATTAAAGAAAAGAAAATCGAAAACAATTTTTTTTTTCCCGGGCGACCTATATGGAGAGTAGGGTGGTCTTCTCGCAGACCCTCTCTTAATAACTCTTGACTTTAGCTGTACATAGTTGGAGAAATACTTATTATCTTAAGCAATTGACAATTGACTACCCTAGCAGTAGTCGAAATACGTGTCTTGCTAGCTTTTGATTTATTTTATATTTAAAATCATTTTGTACAAACACACCCACACCCACACACCGGCAGAGCTAACTGCTAGGAAATTATTTATGCACTGCAAAATCAAGAGATTTAGGTTTTAGACATGACCTTGATTAATTGTTTTTCAAGTACATATAGAAACACATCAGTCTCATCAATGTTTAGTTTTAAATTGTTCAGAAATATAAGAAGAGAGCGATGTTATCTATGGATCCATCGTTCCAATTTTCAGCATTACGAGTGAATGTAACAAGTACAATTGCTGAACGTGAGCCAATGGGTACCGTAGCATTGGCCCAGCGAAAGAGCAATGAGGTTTTATAACCTCGGTCAATTGCAACCACGTGTCCAATGGTAGTACTAGTACCAACTTGTTGATTGGCTTGATTGAGGAAAGTCAACTGGAGAACAGCCGTATCATCTTGTTCCTTCCAACCACCCATCCATGCAGAAATATTAAACCACACTATTTGTTTGTCAATCAGCGTGGAACTAACTGCAGCCGTTAAATTGATCATTTGCCACATGCTGGTAGTTGATGATAATTGACCATTAAAATAGCATTGACCACGATCACTTGAAAATTCAGAATTAAAAAGATACAAAAAACATCTTTTGTCTTTATTTTACCTTGGTCCTGGATCCTTAAAAGACATGGTAGCATGAGAATCATTATAATGCGTCTGTGACACTGAACCTATATAGTTCCAAAATGTTGGATGTGTAACGCCACTACCTGTCTGACATGGACCTGTCTCGGCGTTGCCATTGATCACCAAACTGACACTCAATCCTGAATTGAAAATAACACTCGGTAAATAGAGAAATCAATCGTATTGCAATTTCAAAGGAACATCGATGTAAGATTTTATCAAATTCAATCAACATTGTTGCTACATTTAAATGACTATTCTCAACTATTCACTTTTTGAGTGTCAAGATCAACTTCGGAAAAGATGTAACATTTGTTCTTTATTTACCTATCGGATGTACTTTATAGAATTCATCGATCAATACCAACCTCCCAGTGCAACCTCTTTTACTATAAATATATGAGACGAGTTATGTTAAATCCAAATGATGACGCTCATCTTGAAGTTAACGAATTTTATATGTTATTTATTTATAGTGAGCTTATATCAAGATATTCGATTGATAAAGTATTTATGGTTTTAATATCGGCTCATAATAATATAAGAACTATTCATGTTCGATTTTTTACATAATCGTTTAGTTTTCAATAGAATATATTTTTAGAATCCTTTTGAAACTTATGGATCACATTAGAATCACACTAGATTCAATTTGTTCTCTAATCTGAGTAATACTAAACTAAAGAAATATACGTATTGATGTTGAAACAATGACTCATGTCTATGACATCTAAAAATTAAGCGTATTAATGCATCACTTTGTGATTTATAGAATTGTTCACATATCTGAACATTGTAAAGAGCAAATAAAGACGGATCCGAGTTATTACTATTAGTAGAGTGTTGAGAATTTGTAACGCACGCAATTCTGATGTTAGTGAGAAAGATGCAAAAATCGAGAAAAAATCATGAATAATATTTGAAGAGTTCCTGTAAATAGTTTCTCTTGTGATTGATACTATAAAATCGCCATCAAATAAAATTCCAAAGTAAGTTACTCTCTTATTTTCTATCACAACCATCATTTAACCAAGATTCATATGAGCAAAAACACAAATGAATTTCATAAACATCGGAAAGCATCTTCTTGATTTAACGAAAAGAGTTTTTCAATACGAATTTGACAAGAAGTACTGTTGAAATTTTGACACCAGAGGAATCATTTGAAGCACTTGATAGTATGTTGAAGATGTTAGAGATACAATGATATAAGAAAGAATATTTTATGTTTACTATGCTTGATATATCTGTACTAATATTTAATCGATTTTCTAGAAGTTTCTGTGCAAGAAATCATGTAATAAATTATGAAGAACGAAAACTCTTATGGAGTATTAGGTGTAAGAGTCCACACTTTCAACTGATTGGGATCGATTGCAACGTTTTCTTTTTATTCATACAGTAAAAACAGCTAAGAAATTCTGATACATCGGTAAGAATTGATTGATTTTGAGTTACAAACTTCGTTGGAACTGCTTGTTCATAATATCAAGGAAATTCTATGCTCGAATCGAAATTTCAAGAATGCATGCGTGGCAAATGAATGGTGACTAAAGATTCTATGTGCATCTTACGGGTGTCGTAGATAACGAAAAAGTTGAAAACTGTGCCGAGTAATCAATAGATAAATAACAGAGATGTCCGCAGGGCAGGATAGAAGAAACCTTTTTAATCTTCTCTGCTCCAGAGCAGGGTAAGGTAGCATAGGGTGCAGCACAGGACAAGGTGAAACCTTCATACCCTACAAATTCGAACATTCACTTTCTTAGTTTTCATTTTGAGAAGAGTTGTTTTTGTCTTTGGGCTTCAAAGACCGAAAATGAGTTACAGAAGGCGGTACCAATCGTTCAGCTTTGTCTATTCCTGCAACAATAACTAACGTAAAAAGAGAGTTTTCAACTGTGTGTTGGGTCCTAAATGAAAGAGGAACTCATCTTCAATCAAATAAATTAGACAAAGTTTCATTTATACAATTAATAGAAAAATTTTTATATAAAAATAAATCATGTGTTTTGTGAAACTCATGTATATTTTCGAAGAAAATAGTGAGTGTAAGTTTTAAGTTCAAGTTTTCGCAGTTTCTCTCCTTCCCACTACAGACACTTAGCAACTGAAGAAAACATTACAGACATACCTCCCATTACAGACCTCGACAAAAGCGCACAAAAGATTTCAGATTCTACACTATACTTCAGTACCTTCATAAATATTTGAAAAAAACTATTTTGCAATTTATAAATGATGCATTAGGATAGTAAGTTTGAAGGATATACGTGAGTTTCACATTTCAGCTCCAAAGGAGCTTCGCTAACAAGCTTTTTTTTCTTATTGATAGTAGCAGTCGTCTATTCATTGTCGTTCTTTTTGTTGGACTTTTTTCAGGTCAATGTCTGTTGTAAGGCTTGTGAGCCTAGGTTGCATATATTGTGCCATCTACTTCTCTGACATTTAGAAATATTCATACATTTTGTTAGTTGAACTGTAAATTATTTATATTGTGTAATAGATTTAAATAAAACAATTTTCTATGATATAATACACAAACGTTGCTGCTGTTGAACTGGATTAAAAACCGAAATAAGTGAACATATCGATTCTACAGGGCATCCTGTCCTGCCCTGCTCGATTCAGACAACAGGGGCAGGACAGGGCAGGGTAGACTTTTTATTTTTGCTTATTTTGTTAACAGGGTAGCGTAGGAGAAGGACAGGGTTAGCTGTTATAATGATTGTCGATACTGTGTTGGTTAAAGTAGAGGCGAGAAGCTATCGTTACGTTCCCAGATATGTAGTAACGGAAAGCTTACCAGCTACCCGGTAACTGGTAACGGTCTGGTAACTGTCTCCCGTCACGAACTCAGTACCCTTCCTCCCTGAAATTCTCTTCTAGGGAGTACTCTTCGGTCGTCAAGTACTACTTATAGAGAGACGCTAGAGTCTTCAAGTCCTGTCATACTCTTGTTTACTTAGATAGTACGAAAGGAACAGATCTCCTGAAAGTTGACTGATCAAACATGAACCAATCAAACTGCAGAATTGTATTTCTCAGGAATATGTAGGGTGAAGCCTTAAACATTGATCCTCAATTCGGCAGAGCGTCCGCGATAACCCTACGATTGATTGAACATGTCTAGCAGTTGTTCGGACAAAAAAAAGGAAATTTGCTCTGAAATCTCATTAGACCAGTTTTCGACTAATGAGATTTTAGGAAGACTTTTCTTACGTTTTACATGGACAGCCACTAATCATGTTCGAGTTCATACTAGGGTCCTCAAGAATATCCTACCGATTAAGCAATATCAGTCGATGCGTCGCCTTATATGTCTACAAGAAAGAAGACCTCAGAATCTGATTGATTCATTTTGCGACCATTGAGTTTTCAGAAGGTCTTATCTTTCTTTTTATATGCACAATTACTACTAGTATTCGGGTGAATCCTAAGGCTATCTGGTGTGTTCTACTGAATGAATAGTATACGTGTAGAGCTCCGCCTTATGTGTCACGGAAAATAGAATCTGGCAATCTAATTCATCCACAGTTCGACAACTGAGTTTTCAGGAAGTCTGTTTCTTCGTATTATCACAGAAACTACTAGTGTAGCGGAACTTGAGAGTCCTAGAGTAGTCTCCTATAGGAGTACTTGAGGAAGCTAGGTTTCTTCCACTATAGTAAGGCTTGAGAACGCAAGGGTATCATTACTGAACCGTGACCAGTTAGCGGCAACGATTCGGTAGCAGTAACTTTCTATCCCGAACTAACACTCGAAACCCACATTCACACCCTTGTTCAATTGTAATCATTTAGAGATTACAAAAATTCTGTTTTTTTCGGCTGAAAAAACGCGATGGAAGAACCTTAGTCATGTTTAACAAAGAAACTATAACTTTTCATGACCTCTATAGGAGTCGAACTATTTTCTCTGCAGATGATAGCTTTAGTCTCGCTATCTATAGAATTTATCATGTCGAATGTATTGCATTATAGAGTAAAAATGACTATATATTAATAATTGAATCTTTTATTTTAGTTTCATTTCAAATATTTCAAATGAATATGAGTTTCTGACAAAAAAAATGACTTTTCGATTCCAAACTGTTTTGAAATTTCTTCCATTCTTCATTATATATTTATTCAAACACCAGCGTTTATGATCACTATATTTATTGTATTTGTTGTTCTATGTTATAATGTTAGAAACTTGAAAGGTTCAGTTCTAATCAATATTTTGATTTGAAATTTATCAGAACAGCAATATTTTATTTGCGATAAGATCTATTTGTATATCAGGGAAATAAAGATAGATTTAACATGAGTTTTAGTGAATGATAACACTTCCTTGAGACTATGTTAAATAAAACAAGTTCTAAAGAAATTCTACTTGACTTTTCGTTAACGAGAAACTGCTTGAAAGTCTTCTATTTCATAACTTGTATCTTTCGATTGATGTTGATTTTAGGCATTACATACGCACATTGTAATATGTTTTTGTTTATTTTGATAGAGTGAACAGATTCAAATTCATATATGTGGATTAAATAGATGAGATTATCTTGTTCGAACTGCGGATTGAGTTGGGAGAAACAGATATACATAGGAGTTTTGCCTGTTTGCCATGAGAAAATCCAAAACAAAATCGAAGCAAACTTTAGTAATCAAATTATAATTCTATTCCATTCTAGGGCAAGTAATACATAACATTGTTTGACGTATTCAACAGCTAAAATCGTAACATCCCTTCATGAAAGTATAGGAGTGCTCAGAATTGTACAATCAATCACTCAAAAATGAATCAATTATATTTCAAATAAGCTATCTCAATGACAATGAGAAACAATTAACATACCTGTCTTATTGCAATTATTTCGAAGAATCTGGGCATCAAAAAACAATCTATTAATACATGATTTTCTCATTAAAACATACAATTAGAAATATTTTTTATTTCGACAGTACAGATAACTGTTTCTATGACTAGGAATAGTTAAAAGGTTCATTTGATATCAGTAATCTAATTGATCATAGACATGCTTTATAATAGTTAAAGGCATCGCTTTAACTTACAGTTCATGTGAAGAAACTCGATCATGCGTGAATAGAATGAAATAGTCACTCGATCAAGATAAATGTGGAGCCAATAAAAATGTTGTGTGTCTTGATTTAATCAGGTACATAAACGTTCTGCATAAATTAGGTCGATACAATTAATAAAAAAAATGATCCAAGCGAACTGATTTTGAACAATAAAATTAGCGAATGTGAAAGTAAGAGATGCCGAGTTGTAACTTCAAAGGCTGAAAAAATGTTAAAAGTTACATTTCTTTTTCAGTTTATGAAGTTTATCTCGATCTTTGCATATACCTTTCAACAATATCAGTTACCCCATCAACTCAAAGCAGAAAACAACTGTAACTCAGGAAAAAAACAATCAATATTCCAGTATTCTCCATTAGATACTGATACAACTGATGAGATTTGAAATGAAATCCAAATCACAAGAAAAAATTAGACATGAGAAATTCTCAAATTTTTTCAATATGAGGCACTTTCTTACACGAACTGCTAGTTGAAATAGTGCCTCAAGCTATCATAAAGCGTGTTTACAGTCAGCTCCATTCGCCAATATCTTTCTATGCAATCTAAATCTTACATCAATAATGTATATAGGTTTTTAGTCATTCGCAGGCACAGGCGTATTTATTTTTATTATTAAATAAAAAAGTAAAACCGCACTGTATATTTTACTGAGAAAGTTATCAATTAATAAATAGTGACTTTTTTGCTAGTTGGCCTGAACTGACTTCAATACAACATACATTTTATCACTATTATCTGCTATATAGTTGTGTTATAATATTCGAGTGCAATATAAATAATGATTAAACTTCAAAAAACGTAAAAAGTTCACACCGATCCAAGACATAAGAGAAAAGTGACAGAAAATGAAGAGAATCCTAAATATTTCATTTCTATTAAAGACAATAACTTGTCAATAAAACTTTTTATTATTATTAAAGAATGTGACTATATCTTTTTAGCGAAAATACTACATCACATTTTATATGAAAATATTATTGTTAATTACATTCAACATCCTGTAGTTTAAAACTTGATATCTTTAAGGTCATTTATAAAAGTAGATTACTGTTAACAAAACAGTGGCCTTCAATTACACATATCATAATAGGAATGATTGTTATAAAATACAACATACAGAGGAAAATATAAAATGATCAGGGTGTAAGGCAATATGAAGGAGCTTATCATAACCGGATATGGGTTCTAAAAGAGTCAATATTTTGGATTTGAGTGTGAGTGTGACTGTTTATCCTGTTCTAAATAGGTCCTCACACATACCTGCATTCAAAATGCTTTGATTTTTTCACTCTTAACTGCTGTGAGCAGAAAGCATGCAGACTAGCTAAAAATGCGTCTGAATGTGAGCATAGTTTATCTTTAAGGTCATGTCTAAGCCATAATCACAGCTGTAGCCACATCTAACTAAATCCATGCTTTACATCCACACACATACGCATAAGCACACGCATAACTTACAACAAACACCTATCCCCTTTCGTTCATGTACCCTTGTCCTAAACACTAAATTAAAGTTAATTCACTTACGACGGTAACCTGTAATGCTGTTGTCAGCTACGTTTCCACCACTACCCGTACTTTTTTTCAGTGAGCATCGTTGGTTCGATGGCGAATACGTAAAAGCAACACATTCAGAAGTTGTTTGACATTTTGTGCAACAGCTAGCATAATCAGATTGTTGTAGAGGAGAAAATAATATGTCATTACCAGGTATGTCCCAATTGTCTTGACGAACGAAATCACCACACATATCTCCTGTGAGAACACAAATAAAAGAATAATGTTAATAGTACTCATTATGCGGACCAAAGACTGGAAAAAAATGACAATATTCACGATATTTTTGCTCTAATATAACTTTACCTCTTTCGTATTTTGTTACCACTGAGCTGTTCATGAGTGACAAGAAATCGAGAGCTTAAAGCCTTTGTGCCTACTTTCTGTGTTGCATTCCAAAAAATGTCTTCTCATTTGGAAGCATAAAATTGAAACTTAGCAACTAGTAAATTCAACTTCAATTGGTTTTCCAGTTTAAACCACTAAAATATGCAACAACTGTAGATCTCAAAATTTAGTTATTTAAAATTTCAAAACGTTTAAACTGAGCTTGAGAGAACTTTGTTTATTAAGAACACTTTTCGAATATTTAAATGAAAGTTACAAATTTAGTTTGAATGCTTGGAAAACTTTCTGATGATAATTTTCATGATGTTTATACCTTCAGTTGTACATATCCCTATCTACGATTGATAGAGCTCCCTATATATCATTAACCTTATTTTCTTAATATCCACAAATCAGAAGTAGCAATCCCGAAAACTTCAAGCAAAATTGTAATGCAGATCCAGTTGCTCAGTTATATAGCTTCGTGAAGCTGTCCTTGCTAAGTACAAGAGTGCGCACTCAATCTCATCAAGGGCATTTTCATTTTCCATTCTGTTCATTTCTTTTTGTACTCTCTCACTCACTTCCTCCTTTCTTGCCCATTCGATTTAATTTCAGAAAATAGAAAGACGAACATTTCATCTTTCATGTCACCGAAAGTTTGTTGCAAGAAAGAGCAAGAAGCGCCTTATTTAGTGCTTTGAATAACGTTTCTGAAAGCATGGAGAAGAAAAGAACGAGCAAACAACGTAGAAAGTAGCTTTTGTACCGCTAAACCGCCCATGAAAGGTTCTCATTTTAGTTATATTTAAGCAGCAATAGACTTTGCTTGAAAAAGTGCAAGACTGAAAAACAGACCATCATTAGTCTTTCTAACTCTAAGTTTCAGTCATGCAAAATTTCTTCTATTAACAAAGGAAGATTTTCCGACATTACAATGGTAACTATTTGTCAAGCGTTTAGTTTTTTCTAAAATGTTTTTCGAATCATTACGTAGACTTCGAAGAGCTAGTCTCGATTATTAAGGTTTTCTCCCAATGACACCACACTTCCTAACAGATAGTTGATATACTCACGATTATATCCAGTAATTCTATCGCCAGTTGAGTTTCTAGCACTGTTCATACTTTTTTTCAGCCAACATTGTTGACTTGATCGCGAATATGTAAAAGCAAAACATCCATAAGTTGCTTGACAATGTGAGCAACAACTAGCATAATCAGGCTGTTGCACAGGAAAGGGTAATATATCATTTTCCGGAATGTCCCAGGAGTCTTTACGTACGAAATCACCACACATATTCGCTGTGAGAACATAAATAAAATAGCATTGTTAATAGGACTCATTATGTAGATAAAAGATCGAAAAAGGTGACCATGTTCTCTGTATTTTTGCTCGAATATGTGGCTAGCTCTTTCTGGTTTTTTCCATTGCTAAGCTGCTCGTAAATAGTGAATACTAGGTAGTAAGCCTTCGTGAATGTCAAGAAAGCAAGAACTTAGAGTTTTTGTATTTAATTGTTACTTTGTATTCTAAAAAGGTGAAGGAAAGTAACGCAAAATATGGGAATACTCTATAGTAATAGTACGTGAAGATGGTCTCTCTTGATGTAAGGAGCCGATTCAAAGTCAACCAGAATATTCCCATTTTATACTCTGTTTTTCTCTTTCTTTACTTTCTCGTTTGTTCCTTGATTTTTGTCCGTTGAATTCTTTCTCGTAATAGAGAGTGGCAAATACTTCATATCTCATGTCACCAAAAGTTGGTTTCAAGAAAGACCAAGATATGCCTGATTTGTTTTCTTATATAATGTTTCTGCAAGAAAGAAGAAGAAACCATGAGCAATCAATATATATCGTAGCTTTTCGTTCAGCAGCACTTTAAAAATCAGATGGTGTGCAATGCTTAAGAAAGGTTTCAACTTTGGCACCATAAGACTGAGTCTGTTTCTGTATCAATATGCCGAGCTAGATTGATAGACTGCTCACTGTAACACTTGAACGTGTTCCCTTAGTCTATATCTAACCATTTACAATCATGTATGAATGCATATATGAACCGCTATTGTAACCTTAAATGTTTATCTAACCTCTTACACTAAAGTTTTTTCTACAGTTATCATCTGAATCTATCCTCTTAGACTATTTGCGTTAGTCAGTGTGCATATACCGATATCTATACATTGTCGCGATTTAGAATTGTAAGACAACTTTGAAAGATAGACGTCATTCATCAGATCTCTAAAAGTAAGAAATGACCAATCATTGAATCATTATCGGGCTTGAAACCTATTTCGCTGTCATCACTCTGCTCAGTAATATAAATGATCAGTAGGTCAATCAAGGGTTGAAAAAAGTAGTAAGGTTATTGTTTTTTCCTTCCATATTCTTAAAAAGAAAAGCTAATAAACAGATTTGTCTCAAGGTAATACTGTCTCAGTGAAGTTTTCTGGATTCGCAAAATAAGTCTCTGTGTTGAAGATCAAAGTTTTTTAATTGATTAGCAGCATCAGATTTTGGTTTGTTCGACTTCTGAAAGTCTAACTCCGATTTTTTGAGATTCGTATAGGAAATTGAATCTGTCTGGTGCTCTCAATTTTCGGTCAAGTTTTATCAGAATATAGTCATTTTGTAGAAATCAGATATTCTTCAGCCTACAAAAGTATAGAGTAATACAATATAACCCTTATCACAACCACTTCCTGATACTCTGAACGTAAAATAATCAGGGTGTTAACAGAAATAATTTACGCCTAATATTAATGTGCTCTCCTGTGCTTCTTGGCATTGCGCAATAATTATTCAAATCGAAATAACTCTGTAGGACATGTTAATGCTGCTGTGGACAAATCTTATTAATGTTGTTCAGCGGTATGCTAAGAAACTTTTGGCAGATACACATCAGATAAAGTGCAAGAGTAGCTCGTTTCGTTTCGGAAAATGACTCCTACTTCTCGCTTCTATATATGGTAATTCGTGGTGCACAACAACCAGGCCAAAATGTTTTACTCAGTTCAGGACACTGCCATCAAGCTGGAGACTCTGTTCTAGCCTTGTTTGATAGAGAGTTCTCTGCTCTTTTAAACCATACATGTTTTAGATATATTCTCCCGAAAATAAATAGTGACAGTCGGTATTTCGATTATAGTGTTACTATCAAACCATATTTTTGTATGTATTACTAAAATAAAGAGAGTGCAATGAAGGCACCCTCATGTCTAGATTCCCACACACTTGACTTTCTCGCAGTCATCCAAATTGTTTTTTTTTCTAAATTTTTTATCACTATAAAATAGTCTTTTTAGAAAAGTAATCATATATTCTGATAGAGTGTGAAGTTCTCTATCATCCTATATATTTTTTTAAACTATCGTGCATCTATATGTTGAGACATATTCAGTACATTAACGCAAGTCAAGACAAAAATATATGGGTTGATAGAGAATTTCCATACCTATCAGAACCTATTATTCCTTGTTTAAAAATTTATCGTCGTGGTAACTATATTTCGAAAAAAGGAGAGACGTAATGGTTTGCGGTACTTATTAATTCAGGCCAAGTACATTATGTTCAAACTACTTTAGCAATTTATAAATGCAAGAAAATAAGTAAATGCATAGGATGATAAAAAATTTCACGCTCTACCAGAATATTTAGTTACTTTTCTAAAAAAGATAATTGTATAGTGATAAAAAATTTTAAAAACTATTTATGATGACAGTAACAAAGTCAAGTGTGTGGCAATGTGGACATGAGGATGACTTCAGTGTACTCCACTTATTTTAGTAATACATAAGTACAAGCTAAACCATAAATATACAAGGTGACAGAAAACTTCATGAGTTTTCAGAATATGTAATTAGTTTTTAAACAACATGGTTTTGTAGTAACAATGTATTCGAAATATCGACTGCCTCTGTTTATTTCCAAGAGGATATATTTATACATTATTTCAAAAATTATGCAAAGTGAAGACGACCGAAAGACTGCGCTGCAACTACACGATGAAGGTTTAACCAGTCGAGAAGTTGTGAAAAATGTCGATAGAAAGTTCGTAAAACAGCAGTTAATAGGTGAGTTAAAATGCTCCAGAAATCTAACAATGTTATTTTGAAAAGTCCATCAGGTCGAAAAGAGTAAATCAACCAAAAGATTAATGAAACAACCACCTTAGTGAAACATTTTGTAAGCAAGATACAAGGTACAGAAAAGTTAGTAGATCTTGAAAATTTAGGTACAAGATAATCACATTGTCTTGTTCCAAGATCTGTAATCAGATCTTGGGTACAGATGTGCAAGATCTTAAGTACAGATGTGTAAGATCTTGGATACACATGTGTAAGATCTTAAGGCACGAATCCATAAGATCTTGGATACACACTAAGGTAAATGTGTTGCATCTGTCGTGGTTTGCGACATAATGTATGACGCATGCTAAAAGAATGGTTCTAATCTACCATGGAGCACATATTTTTATTGTTTTCTATAAAATCATGCTATGATTGTTTTTCAATTTATTTTCATTTTAGTTATTCTTGTCCCGAATAACTCAAGCAAGTCAGATGTGTTGGGATCTGACTTGCTTTGAGTTGGCCTGATCTCGGTCAGACCACTTCAGAATGCTCCTCTCTCGATCATTGATCGAGAGAGACATGTTCTCGAATAATCAATAGTCGAGAAATTGTTTAGAAAACAAATTATTTTGAAAATCTATGTCTTCGATGTTCAATCATGTTGTATATATATACAGCTACGTATGCATAAAAAAATGGTGAATGACTAGTCAACATGTAATAAATACACTAATGATGTCGCTTTTTGCTTTGCTCAAGATCTTATGAGAAGATAATAGTAAACGATATCTTTTCCATGATCTCGCCAAGATCTTAAGAAGATCCTGCTTATTGATGCCAAGGTTTCAAGATCTTGCTTATAAGATATTCGACTAGAGTATGAGCTAATCCTCTTCAAGCCAAAACGAAGATGCCAAAAGAACAATGCGGCGTTTAGTTAAAGATGGTCTAGCATACAAATCATGCTTCAAATGTGCCGTTACTAAATTTACAGATTTTCATTTGAAACTTGGCCAAGAAAGAACACAAGAAAATCATCATCTAGAGAACTCCTGTTTGGCGATGACAAACGACTAAATATCGATGAACTTTATAAAAGAAGAAACCATAGGATATGAGCTGCAAGTCATGAGTAAATTGGGTGTAGATGTGAGTGTAACGATTGATCACTCTCTTCTTCTCTCTCCCACTTACTACCACAACCTTATTCTCGCCTATACTAAACATACATAATGAGAACACAAGATACGAGACCCAAAATCAGTCATGTGAGAAGCAATGCATAAACAACTCAGATATCCACTAAGCGCCGATATTATCGAGTCCAATGATATCAGTCCCTCTTTTTGTGTACTCAAAAAGTGAGTACACTCTAGAATCGGTCAGTATGTCCGGCCGGCCGTTTACACGATAACTTTCGAAAGGAGAGTCCGATCACGATGAAATTTTCTGTACAGTTCAGTCTTTACAATATCTCAGTCGAGTTCGAAGATGAGAAGGATCGGCCAAGCCGTTCCTGAGTTATTGCAAAAATACCCATTTTCCCTATAGCTTCCCTATGAAAAGATCTACCCATCCCCACTTTCGTAAATGACTTTTCCTATCATAGTCAACTAAAACCCCAACTATTATATACCATTCGATAGAGAATTTCAAGAGCTAAAAAATGGTATATAAAACATAAAGAAACAAGAAGATTGACTCACCTATGACAAAGATAATTAAAGAGAACTAGCTTATATTTTTGTCCACGATCTAATTGATCCACGAATAGAGCTCTATCTTCCGATCGCAGAGATGATACTTCGAGGTTTTCTGAGATGGAGAACTCGAATCTGCATTCCGCTTCCATCGAAATACTATTGGTTGAGCAGTAACTAATAGAAATCAAGTTATAGGAAAAACGACTTTCTTAGGGTAAATCAAGGGGAAGAGTTCAAATTTGAGCTGTATTCAGTCCCAAGTCCTATTGGTTTGGCAATACCCAATAGAAATCAACAGTTTAGAGGGTAGGTTCCCCAGTATAATTTTGATGTTTACACATTCTAGGATGGCTAATTCGTCTGATTCACTTTTTGAAGTACACATAACTCTCGGATTTAAATCCGAAGTTTCCGCATTTATTTGTATTAGATTTGAACAATAATATTGTCGACTGCTGTAAATTAAAATCATTATTATTATTTTCAAAGTTATTTTCCCTAAACACATAGTTTTTCATCTAAAACTATTGAAAAATTTTAGGACACAATAGAAGCCCCCTTCAAAAATTTTGGATGGTGGACAATTTATAAGCCTCCGGAGGCTTCTATTATGGGGGGAGGTTTAGTAAAGGTCATTCAATCCTGCATCTGGATTCGATCAGAAGTTACCGATAAGATAGGTTCCTGGAAGATCCAATTACTGCATAGTGCTGAAACCGCAAAAAATCGATTGTAGAACGAAACTATATAACTCTTCAGTCTCAAAGCTCTAGTTGCTTGAATTTCGATCACTTTCTGCCGGAAGTCAATGAAAATTGGTAGAATCCTGCCATAACTAACACTTATCCAGTTGGATTTGACATCGAAATCTGAGCAGTCATCCTTTTTCAGAGTGTTCAATATTGCAAAATCAGCTCCATCTTTGGAATCAGTAGCATCCAATTCGGAGAACTCGATCATTGTTCGCCGTAAGAGGCACTATAACATCGATTCGGTTTTATCAATGCTCGGAATTCTCGGAATTGAGTCGCAATCAAGTCGACAGTAATGCCGTTTACTTTCTTCGAGTTCCGAAATTAAGCCACAAAGAACTTCGATGAAATCACTAGGAATTCCGAATAGTTCCCAATGAATTCTGAAATTAACCGGATTTTTGAGCAATTACTACTAGATCCAATGCTCAGTTTTCCAAAAATTAGGTCGGTACCGAATTAGACAGGACTACTCGAAATTGAAACGAATTTTGGAATTACCAGAAATTCCTAGAAACCCTCGAGAACCGTTAGGAGTTCCGACGAGTTCTAACTCGACCCATTTCCCGAAAATTCGTGTCTGATTGACTTATTGAAAGTAGAGAGTAACTTATCATCATACCAGAGTGCGTGAGAATGAGGACTAGAAGTACTGCGTCTCCTCGCCGATAAAATTCTGAATATTGCCGAGACTCGGTTTTTCTCCATAACATCTTTTAGTGTTATTGGGGATCTAGCTCTGAAAATTGGACACAATTGGTTTTGAGGCACAATTGATTCCAAAATATTCAACATCGCAGAATAGAAAATATTCTACGAAATCCAGACACTTGGGTTTTTGCTTGCTTCCCATAGAATTTCAGGGATATCAAGACAACCTTATACGCTCTACTGGCTTAGTTTCATTCTGAGCTAGTTTAAAAGTGGGCCATCAGACCTGTCTCTGGGTTTGGGTGTGGATGTGGAGTGTAGACTGTGGGTTTGGGCAAACAAGAGAACAAAACTCACACCCATCGGTATTAAATTTTAGTTTCAGTGACACATGAGTGCATGAGACATTTTTCAAATTTGTATTAAAAGTTCTCATTTAACAGGATTGAAGCATTCAAGATACGTCCAGTAATCGAGCAACTATTTCTGATATAAATATAAATACAGACAAGAATAATAAGAAGAAATAGTCGAAAATCTAAAATGCTTACTTTCTTTTGGCTAGGTGAATACAGTGATAAAAAACACCATTCACATGATTTTCGATGTTGTCGCTGCAATAGAACAATAAAAGATGCAGAATTTCCAACACACAATTCCAAATCTTATTGCTATCGATGTTATAATCAATACTCTGGACCACAATGTGCGAAATGCTCCGAGCCAATATCTGATGGAAGGTCAATAATTTATCAGGGAGATCAATATCATCCCGATTGTTTTCGATGTTGTCGCTGTAATAAAACAATAAGCGATACAAAATTTCCAACGCACAATTCAAAGCCTTGTTGTTATCGATGTTATACTCAACACTTTGCATCACGATGTGCAAAATGCTCCGAGCCAATATCTGATGGAAGATCAACAACTTATGAGGGAGATGAGTATCATCCAGATTGTTTTCAGTGTTGTCGCTGTGATAAAGTAATAAGCGATACAAAATTTCCAACACACAATTCGAAGCCATGTTGCAATCAATGTTATAATCAATACTTTGCATCAAAATGTGCAAGATGCTCCCAACCAATATCTAATGAAAGATCAATAATTTACCAAGGAAATCAATATCATCCAGATTGTTTTCGATGTTTTCGCTGTGATCAAACAATAAGAGAAAGACAATTTCCAACACACAATTCAAAGCCTTGTTGCTATCAATGTTATAATCGATAGTTTGCATCATAATTTTTGGTGTTTAAGACCCATCATTGATGAATATATAGCATTGGAAGGGAATGTGATTATATGCGTACGATTGTCTATGAATAAAATACTGCATTCACATTCATTCTGCTTTCATTTTTCATCTCATGGAAATTTTCGAGGGTTCTCCAATTGTGTTTCAAGCATTTACTTCTAATACTCTTATTTTTTGATCTTTTGAGTTTCAGATTTTACCCTTCTGTCTTTGTCCTTTCGATCTATAAACATTATTTTTCCTCAATTTTACACAAAGACTCTTTCCACAATTCGCTCCTGCCATACTACTTCTAATACATAAGGAAGAAAATGGCTTAGTTTCACCATACCTCGATAGAGTGTGGGTGCTGGTACAGATTCACATGTATGGCTGGAGTTGTGAGTGTTTGTCTGAACTTTGTAGATGCCCACCACCCACCCTAGTATATGGCTGTCAAAAAGTGTGTTACCATCACAGTACCATCTTAGTGCACCCTCAGCATTATTTTCAGTGGCTGAAGGCAATTTTAACACTTCAATATTTTTTCAGCACGGGTGTGGGTGTGGGTGTGGGTGTGGGTGGGTGTGGGTGTGGGTGTGGGTGTGGGTGTGGGTGTGGGTGTGGGTGTGGGTGGGTGTGTGAGCGGGTGGCGCGGCGGCGGAGGCGCGGGTGTCGGTGCGGG